AGTAGGGCTTTTTTTTTTGGACAACTGTACTACTCCATTTTCATCCAGTCAATCACATTGAAATTTGATGTTAAATTTTAGGTTTGTCTCTAAAAAAAAATGCTTTTAGAATAGGAATACAGAGTACTTTATTTTGGAGCTGCTTTATATACTCCTTATCATGAATTTCTACTCACTTTTAGTTTATGCGATTTTACATGAATTACTTTAATTTGATCAATTACTTTTGATTACATGTAGTACAAATTGTAAAAATTTGATGTTTTGAAAATATATATTGAAATGATATATCTTGATATCATATATTAATGGAAAATTTGTTAAAAACCACCTTTTAAAACACTTTTTTTTTTTGAAAAACCAGCTTATAATTTATTTATTTTTGTAAGAGTGCATCATAAACCAAATTTTTATTTTTGCGAGATCACACCTTAGTCCGGTTTCAAGGCATTAACCCTTTTTTTTCTGACGCTGACAACCCCACGAGCCTCTCACGTGCTCACTCAATACAACCCTTTTAATTTTTTTTCTCCTTTTCCTCTCCAATTACACTTTCTCTCTCCTATGTTCTTCCCCCTCCTTCCTCCCCACACCACCACCAAAACCACCCCACCTACCCGCCATGTGAATAAACCTCATTTAGCCTAGACACTCATGCACCTAGCCTCTAACGCCCTCTCTAACTCGATGTCACTCATAGAAGCCCAAATTCATGCGGTGGCCCACCATCGTCGGTGGTTGTGCAGTGCCAAGTAGCCACTATAACCTTTGATTTTCCCTCCCTTTTCACTTTCTCCCTACTTTTTCACTTAAAGTTCACAATTCAACCTTTGTAATTTGTGGTGAATTCATCAATTATTTTGGGGCAAATTTAATGAGTGCAATTATTATTATAATTTAGGACTTTTTTTTTTGTATGTGCTTGTTCTATTGGGCTTCAATGGAGGAAGGAGGTGAAGAGGTGGGGTGGGGTTTTGGGTGGATGGGAGTGAATAATCTGATCGAAATTTTCATGGAAGTGGATTTATTGGGTGAGATGGTAGGTGTTGGTGAGGATGGCAATGAGTTGGTGGTGGCGGTGAGGCGGTGTTGGTGAGGGTGGCAGTGAGTTGAGGTGGTGGTGGCGATGAAGTGGTGGTGGTGAGGGAAAAGGGGAAAAATTAAAGGATGGTGGTTTTATAAGATCACGTGACCCACACATTCAAAGCCAACGCCTGAAAATTGGGTCAATGCCCTGAAACAAGTCTAAAGTTTGATCTTGCAAAACTAATTTGATTTAAGCTAAGGTGTATTCTTGCTAAAAAAAAAAAATTTAAAAAAAAATTATTATAAGGTGGTTTTTCACCACAAACAAACAAACAAAAAGGGTTCTTAAAAGGTGGATTCTGATAAATTTTCTTATATTAATGTCTATGTTTTACTTGCATAGTTTTGTAGGAAACTTGCTTAGGCCTAATCGCCAGCTAAACATGATTTTAATCTTTGTTTGTTTCCGTTTTACTGAAAAACATATAAATGCATTATGTTAATCTTAGTCGGTTGATTCACAATCATGAGATTAAACACAATATACCCAACCCAGCCTAAACCTCAATTAGAGATCTATGCAATACTTGAGCAATTCAAATTGTTAAGTTCAATTCGAGGTGTAGGACTTGATGATATGGTATGCTGTCTTAACCTTAAAGAAACTTCGTCATCACTTGAAGCCTACACTAGTTTGGTGTAGCAAAATTCGCTAATAATGCAGTGGCTTTCATTTCACAGCACAACGATTCCTTATGATGATCGAAATCTACAATTAAGTGTAATTGAGAAGATGAGAGTTCAAACCACAAAACTTAAGTTAAAAGTTATACTAATACCATTTCAGTATTTGATCTGTTAGACTCAAGTTAAAAGTTACTCTTTCTTATTAACTTGTTAGTATAATTAAATAATTACTAATTACTAATTAGTGACTTAAGCCTTAGGGGTAAACAGTAAAGGATATAGAAAAATATAATAATCTTATGATTTTCATCCCTTTATACTAATAATATTTGACTATGAGAATATGAGATGGTTATATGTTACGTATATGTTAATATGTATAATCGATTGAAAGAATCAATATTACCTTCTTATTCATTAATGTGTTCTTTCATTATATAAATCAAACTACTTTGTAATATCTTCATATATAACTTTATGCAAATATATAATGATAAACGAGTCTTAATTATCAGTCTTGTTGACTAAATAAGTATCGAATACCAAATTGCAAATTTCGATGTCACAACAACTCATCAAATCATGATTATGACACTATTAACTAAATGATCAAATCAGAAGCAGATAATAATCTGATAGTAAAACAATAATACATTAATGCACTAAACTTTTATAATCTACTTCGTAATAAACTAGTAAGATCAGTATGGCTAAACTTGAATCATAACATGATATGTATTTATAAAATTAATGAGAATTTGCATATAATATGATGCCTCATATGAAGTGATGAAGTCTCGGCTTGATATAAAACTTGTTAACTAGCAAAAAGTTAGAAAGTAGTACAAAATTTTTTGAAATCAAAAACAGACTCGAACCGTAATTTAGTAAATCTGAAATAAAACCGATCTAAATAATGTTAAATCGTAGAAGAACCAAACCCGTGTACGAACCGAACCAGTTATAACCGAACTAAAATAAAACTAAATTAAAAAAGAACCGAACCGTTTCCAACCTGAAAATGTTTGAACCGGGATAATAACCATTTACACCGAACCGTTGACAAACCGCAACCCGTCTGCACCGAACCGTTTACTACCCGGACTTTTTACAACCCGCACCGTTTACAACCCAAACCGAATTTAAACCGGGTTAAAAACCGTTTACACCGAACCGTTAACAAACTACAACCCGTCTGCACCGAACCGTTTACAACCCGGACCGTTTACAACCCGAACAAAATTTAAACCGGGTTAAAAACCGTTTACACCGAACCATTAACAAACCGCAACCCGTCTGCACCGAACCGTTTACTACCCGGACCGTTTACAACCCGGACCGTTTACAACTCGAACCGAATTTAAACCGGGTTAAAAACCGTTTACACCGAACCGTTAACAAACCGCAACCCGTTTGCACCGAACCGTTTACTAACCGAACCGTTTAGAACCCGAACCGAATTTAAACCGTTCAAGAATAAACCGAAACCGAACCGAACCGATAATTATTTAAACCGAACCGAAACCGACCCGTAAGACATTTGAACCGATTTCAAACCGACCCAATTTCAAACCGAGCCGAAACCAAACTGTCAAATCGTTTTGACACTGCTATAATTCCACTAGAAGACTACACATTATATTCTTGAATCGTCAACGGGTCAGTCTATCCACAAGAAGACTAGCGTTTACTCCACATGCATTTTATATCCGTAAATCATCAACGATTACTGGCTGGATATATACCAAATTACCAGAAGCTACTTCCATTATTGCCGAAGCTCACTGCACGAAATTTATGTGCACTTTGAAAATTTTTTATCCTAAATTTTCACTGTAACATCTAACAGATTAACATTCTTTCAAAAAAAAAAAAAAATCTAACAGATTAACATTATTAATTTAGTATATGTGTTATGTGCAAGTTCGAGTAAAGTTTAATCACATTAATTAATTGAAGTAAATGACATCAAGTTTATAATCCAAGCGGACTATTCCTTTCTATTGTCAATTGGTAACGGTTTATAATATAACCTAGCTTTTGGGCTGGACTTTTAATTTTCCCTTGTGTCTTCTCCATCTGTCAAATTTATTTACTTCACCCCTTTTTTTAATTTAATTTTATTTATTAATGTTCTACTTTGTGTACAACGGGTGTACATTAGTTTTATTGTAAAACGGTCAATTTGAGCGTAATTTTAACTATTTTTATGATAACTTTAACCACTTAAAGGGTAACTTTTAATTTGTCATTGGTTTGAATTTTATTTTAATGTGTAATTTCTTATCGATACGTGATTACATACTATAAACACTAAATATGAATCTAATACATTATAAGTTTTTTTGTAAGATAAAATTTATTAACAAAAAAATAATAACTTTTGCAGTATATAGGGTAACTTTTAGTACTTTTAACATAAGTTTAACTCGTTTTAATTTACAATAAATTAACGTACACTCGCCTTTTTGAAGAATTTATGTTAATAAGAAATTTTGTTTTATACTTAAGTTTATAATAATGGAGTAATAAACAAAAAGGGAGAGGAGAGAAAAAAACTTAGTAAAAAAGGCGGGCTGCTATAAAATAATGGAGTAATAAACAAAAAGGGAGGCGGCTATAAACAATATATATAAGGACCAATATTACCTTAAGTTTACCTTAGTATATATAAGGACCAATATATAATAATGGAGTAATAACAAAAAGGGAGGCGGCTATAAAAAGGGCGAGGAGAGAAAAAACTTGGTAAAAAGGCGGGCTGCTATAAAAAGCTCGAAACGCATACATGTACAATATTACCCCCAATAATATTTGTGGTTGCCATTTTTCCAAAAAAAAGTCTTGATAATAATAGTCTTTGCTAGAAAAAGGTTCGCTACTTGGATTAAAAGTTCATAATAGAGAGTGAAGTAAGTTTCCAAGAAAAACATGAGAATTAAAAGACCTACTACCTCCATCAATTTTTATTTGCAACTTTGGAGTGTTTTGCAGTTTACGAGACAAAACTTAAGGGGCAAATATTAGAGGAAGTAAATAAAGGTAATTAAAGTGATAGGAGAGAGAAAGTTGGTCCACCCACTTGCAAAATTGGTAATTAAAGTGATAGGAGAGAGAAAGTTGGCCCACCCACTTGCAAAATAAGGGTAAAATTATAAAAATCAGAATTTTTAAGTAAGGGTAAATATGTAATTTCTAGAGTTTTTGTTTACTAAAAATAGAAAGAAAATAGAAAGTTGTACATAATGTTTAGCGGACTAAAATAGTAAAAATTGCAGATAAAAAATTAACGGAGGTAGTACATTTATTGATCCAACATTCTTAGTTTCTTACCCATAAATAAAGGCTATAAAAGAGAGGTTAAGGCATGAACAATTGCAAGCAAACTTACATTGCATGGATTCAAAACACTTCATTCCTATAATAAACCACACAAAACATGGATGCACAAAGCCAATTACATGCTACAACAAAACTATATGATGCAGCATTCAAGGAGACGTACCTTCATTGCTCAACTTGCTCGGAGAAGACCCACTTATCCTTGATCGATGCATTATCGAAAAATCAGGAAAGTATATGCAGTCGCCATTACATGTAGCAGCAAATTTTGGGCATGTAAACTTTACTAACAAGTTAATAGAAAAAAAGCCAAAACTAGTAGAGGTGGTTGATCAAATAAAAAGATCATCACCCCTACACATTGCCTGTGCCGAAGGGCACTTGCAAATCGTTAAAACCTTGCTTGGGGTGAACTCGAGCATTTGCTACACACATGACCAAGATGGTAAGACGCCTGTTCACGTAGCTGCCATAAATGGTCAAATTGACGTACTTGGAGCTCTTCTTAATGTAGAGCCACAAGCTGCTCGGGAGCGGACTATGGGTGGTGAAAGTGTGTTGCATTTGTGTGTGAAACATAAACAACCAGAGGCTTTGAGGTTTTTGGTAAAAACGATAAATGATGGTGAGTTGCTTAACTTCGATGATGCCGTTGGTAATACCGTCTTGCACCTAGCTGTGGCTGCCAAACAACCAGAGGTAATATGAAAATGAACGACGTACTATAATAGTAACTTATTAAATAGTTTTTTTATTTTATTTTTTTCTTATCCAAACAAAGTGTTAAGTGTCGCACCATATTGAAAAATTAAATTAGGGATGATCTAGACTTTGATAGACTCACCACAACTTTCTTGAGGATAGAGGCAAGGGCAGACCCATGAAGTAACAAGGGGTAGCATGTCCCTAAAAAAATAAAAAATCAAAGTTGTTGATCAAAGAGAATAATGCCATTGTTGAAGCTAATACTAAAGCGGAAGAATAATATTAATAGAGAAACAAAACTAATTTTATTCACTTGCACACACTGCTCTACTCGAGAGTACAAAGATACCTGAATATGATAAATAGCTTTTTTTCTGTGACGGAAAGGATGCTAAATTAATTACTTAAAATTATTTAATACATAGTTAACGGTAGCAGCTGGAACATCACCAATTTCAGGAATAATAGGCATAGAGCCAGTAAAAGATAGGTCCTTATGATAGGCCTCATTATAGACAGGAGGGGGGAATATACCAGAATACAAGCTAAGTTTGATTCAGCTCCTGCTTATGAAATAACAACCTAAAGCTAATAATTAGGAGCATGATCTTATCTAACTAATTGACCCACTATGAAGGACTCCACTGACCGTAACAATGACTAACTTCCATGTTACAATAGGAGTGGAGTTTATTTATCTCTTTTTCATTTCAGTATGTAGCTTGTTTGGGCTATAGTAGCTTGCATGTAGCTTTATTTTCTGTTCTCCAATGGTAAACATGAGCCCTCCTCATACCAATCGCTCAATATTCCACTTGAAAGTGAAGGTGGATGAGATTTAAACCCGTGACCTTTGTGCCACGTTGGTTCTAATACCATGTTAGAGGACCAACTCAACTAAATGCATAATCTTATAATTGAAGTTCAGGAATATGTTTTATACTCTATCAATATGTAATGAACAAAATAGTCATTTGGAATGTTGAAATTGTAACAGATTATTACATAACTTACAATTTTATACTTCAATTTGATAATATGCAGATGGTAGAAATTATAATACTACATCCAAAGATTAAAAAGAATGCGGTTAACAAAAATGGATTGACAGTTGTGGATACTCATAAGCAAAGTCGGAAGGATTCGACACAAGATAAAAAGATATGGATACTCCTTAATCGTGCCAATGTGTTACCCGCAAAGGAAGCACTGAAAACGACAAAAGACCGTGCTTGGTTGGAGGACCGTCGCACATCTCTAATGGTGGTGGCATCCTTGATCGCAACCATGGCTTTCCAAGTTGGAATTAATCCCCCGGGAGGCGTTTGGCAAGATAAAAAAACATACACTAGCCAACAAGATATAAAATTTTTTGGATTACAAAAGGACCACATCGCATATGCGGGTACTTCTGTATGGTCATACGGTCATCATTTTGATTACAATATCGTACTAGTTAGTAACACCGTTGGACTAATATCATCCCTAAGTGTCATCCTTCTCCTTATAAGCGGCCTTCCATGCAAGCGATATTTAATATCCATTTTGAGGATAATCCTATGGATTTCTGTCACGGCAACAACATTGACATACTTGTTCTCGGTATCCAATCTAACTTATGGAGAAGGCGGAATTTGGACTGCATTAGGGATTTCTGTCGTAGCTTGGCTAGGGTTAATGGGATCTATACTCGTGGGACATTTTTTGCGATTCATATGGAAGCTTATTAGTTGGCTAAGGAGGCAATCAATAATGATGTATTATCTGATATGGCCAAAAAACACTACAAATGAATCAAATTTGATCGACAGCGTATGATAGTCTCAGCACAAGGTGCGTCGTCTTCACATTCATCGCGTTCTACTCCGGCCATGTTTGTTTCCCGGCTGTTCAATAATAATGTACGAGTAGTACTTTGATTGATTTTTTTTTTTTGAAGGAGTACTTTGATTAATTAGATTGCACTAAGCATGATTTTATTTATGTACCATCTTCATTATTAGCTTAGCTTGTTTGTCAAAGTGTGTTGCTTTACATTTTAAGTGTAATATATAAGCAAACATCAATTATAATTGACCTATCTTCATTTATAATGAGAATGCTCTAATCTACTACAAAATTACTTAAGCTCGTGTCCTAACTAGATGTTAGAAGCATTGAGAATTGACATCTTAAGAGAAAGGTACAAATTAAAAGTTACCCTATACGTGGTTAAAGTTACTATAAAAATAGTTAAAGTTACGTTTAAAATTGACCATTTTACAAAATAATTAATGTATACTCATTGTACACAAGACTTATTTTTCTTATGGTTTTTTGAAAGGAAGAGGGAAAAGAGAAAGAAAAAATGGAGGCGGCTATAAAAGGCTCGAAACAACACTTACAAACTTGACTTGTACGAATTTGACTTGTCAATAATCCTAGCTAGATTACAAATTCATAATACAGTGGAGTGAGCTTCCAAGAAAAATACGAGAACTAATATAAAAACGACTACGTTCATTGATCTTGCATTCTTAATTTCTTAGCCATAAAGGTTATAAAAGAGAATAATCAAGTAGTGCACAATTGCAAGCAAACTTTTATTGTATGAAAAAATAGAGCAAGTAACTATATACGAAGGAGTGAGTAAATTAATTAATTTTAGATTCATTTTGGACTTTGGATTAATTACGTAAACCTAGAGGATCTAGATATGGGCCTAAACTTTTATAAAAATTCGCGTGTCTAAGAGTTTTATAAAAGTGTAATTGTATGGCCTTTAATTATATTAGTTTGTATTAGTTTTATTTGTTTGGTCTAATTATGAACAACACGTACTTAAGAAGTAAGGATATATTCGATGTAATAAGATAGCAGAAATAAAAAATAAAAAATAATTAAAATTTTATTTTATCAAGTTTCGTATTTTTTAATTAACGAGCAGAATTTCGTACCCCCATTCTCACATCCTGGGTCACTGACACCTAGGAATACATAAAATCTTTCAACACAAATAAACCTTCCTGTAGTTAATTGGAATTTTTATTCAATTCGTACAACTCATCACATAATTTTGACCCCTCAAGTGTATCTTTATTTTCTCTCTCAGTCTAATCATAAACCAAATGTGGGTCCGATCTTTTTACCGGCCTCTAATGATCTTTTAATCAATTTATTTTATATTTCGTTTACGTACATATTCTTTTTTCCCTAGGCTAGAATATGTGAATATCTCTAGCACTATAAAATTACATACCCGTTTTTAATACACATTTTAGGTGGGAGCTGTTAACAGATTCCGTACCTTTTGGCAGCATATGACACGGAAAAAAGGGCAAGAGTTTGCAATTGCACTTTCATAGGATGTAGCAGCCTGGTTGATCCCCTTCCTTGCACTTTCATCATGGGTAAAGATGTTGCTATGTATTCATTAATTGAAGATTTAACAGTTCTTCTTTCTCTCTCCCTCATCTTTAATTATAATTTGATTTCAACATCTTTTCCATACTCCCTTTGTTCCTTTGATTATAAAATTTGTTTAATGAGTTAATGGTGTGTTACTTTGAATTTTCAAAGTTCCTACTTTGTATCTTTTCACTTTAAATCTAGGTTATTAATTGGCTATTCTACCTACTTTACTTCTTTACAAGATTATTACTGTTTACACTCCACATTCGTCAACGATTATTAGCTGGATACCAAATGACGACTTCCATTATTGCTGAATGTCACTACAAATTATTAGTTAAATATAGTATTGACTTGTCAACCCTTGCTAGAAAAAGGTTGTTTAATTTGGACTTTGGAGTGAGCTTCCAAGAAAAATATGTCCATGTCCCTCTTTATTGATTGGTCTTACATTCTTTCATTGGTATAAAAGAAATGAAGACTTGCACAATTATTACAAACAAACTTGTAATGCAAGAATTCTTTCCCATAAATTAAACGTCACAAAATATGGAAGCACATATAGAAAGAGGTCAGTTACTTGCTATTACAAGACTATATGATGCAGCACTCAAGGGAGACGTACCTTCATTGCTCCACTTGCTCGGTGAAGATCCACTTATCCTCGATCGATGCATCATTGGAAAATCGGGAAGCTTTATGCAGTCACCATTACATGTAGCGGCTAATTTTGGGCATGTAAACTTTACCGAGGAAATAATAAAGCAAAAGCCAGAACTAGTAGAGTTGGTTGATCAAATAAAAAGATCATCACCCCTACACATTGCATTCGCCCATGTGTTAAATATTCAAAGGTTGTAAATAATATGAAATAGAGGTCGTTAAAATTCTCCAACTTTGGTTATTGCTGGAAGCTATGCCCCTTTTAAATTAGTCGCTCTCATTCCAATAACTTTAATCACGTGTTGATGGGTGTGTTTAATGTTTTAATTCACCTATTATTTAAGCTCCTTGTATGCAACCCTATTACAAATAATAGCTGGATCTAAGTGTTTATGTTAGTCTCAGATGGTTAAAAAAGCAAAACATTACTGATCAAAGTAGAATTATTTTGCAATTATGATGTATAAAATGAAGTAAATCTTATTTCGGTAAAATAATACATACTAATGTATATAAATTTAAAATAATAAGTAGTACAAATTTAAGAAATACATTGCTACTATATACTAAGTATTATTATTACCTACATAACTATGTATTATTCAATAGATCAACTTAGTGTTTTTTTACTTGCTCAAACAATATGCATGCATGGTGACCAACTTATCATGCACAGCAATTACTAGAAACCGAATCACCAGCCTAATTAGTAACATAGCTTCTACTTTATATAAAATTCTCATACTCATTTAGTTTCATAACAACAATCACAACACTTTCCTATTGAGAGTGAAGGATAGCTCAATTGGTTAGAGCTTTTCTATCAGTTGAAGGATCACTTGGGATTCCTTGTGACTCAAAAACAAAAAAAAAAAAAAATAAAAAAAAAAAAAAAACTCTTTAATTTCCTATTACATCTATTTATAATAATATTATTGTAACACTTCCTTTTGGTAAAAATTTACTACTATTTTAATAATTTCTTTCACTCACTAACTGCACTTGCACAAATAAGGAGAGAGGTACTTGCCACTTTGGAAGCACCTAGGGGCCAAGATGCTCATTATTGAGATTCGAATATTTGATGGTTTTATTATGATTCGTGAATGGATGGAGCAAGCAAAGCGTTGGTGATTTTTTTTTTTTTTTTTTTTTTTTTTTGTGTATGTAAGGAACAGCAGCAGGAATAATATTATTGCAAACTAAATAGAAAAATACATATATTCTGTGTTTTAAAAAAAATCTAATTCATAAAAATATATATATATATATATATATATATATAAGAAAATAATTAAAAAATATATCTACCAATCTGAGTATTTGTTCAAGTTTTTTTTTTTTTCCTTGTTCTCTCATTTTACTTACTTCTCAATTCTCACTTCCTAATTTTTACAACTATGTCCCTTAAAACTCTTCACTTAACTTTCATAGTTTCTCTCTTTTTTTAATTATGAATTATAAGAGAAATGATGAGTCGGGTTGTGAATTTTTTGGTAAACTTTTGTTGTGAATTATGAAGCTGACGCCCAACCTCAAGTGACTATCATTCTTGTATCTATATATTTAATTGGTAAACTTTGTTATATTAAATTAATGAAAAATTCATCGTTATATAATTTATGAAACACTGATTAAAACACTTTATACTCCGTAGTCATTTATTATATTAAAGTAGGGCTTTTTTTTTTGGACAACTGTACTACTCCATTTTCATCCAATCAATCACATTGAAATTTGATGTTAAATTTTAGGTTTGTCTCTAAAAAAAATGCTTTTAGAATAGGAATACAGAGTACTTTATTTTGGAGCGCTGCTTTATATACTCCTTATCATGAATTTCTACTCACTTTTAGTTTATGCGATTTTACATGAACTACTTTAATTTGATCAATTACTTTTGATTACATGTAGTACAAATTGTAAAAATTTGATATTTTGAAAATATATATTGAAATGATATATCTTGATATCATATATTAATGGAAAATTTGTTAAAAACCACCTTTTAAAACACTTTTTTTTTTGTGAAAAACCAGCCTATAATTTTTTTTTTGTAAGAGTGCATCATAAACCAAATTTTTATTTTTGCGAGATCACACCTTAGTCCGGTTTTAAGGCATTAACCATTTTTTCCGACGCTGACAACCCCACGAGCCTCTCACGTGCTCACTCAATACAACTCTTTTAAGGGGGCGTTTGGTTCGCGCAGGGGAATCGGAATGGAATGAATCCAGGGAATGCAGGAGAAAGGAATGGGTTGACCCTGATTTAGCCTGGTTGTTTGGTTGCATCCAGGAAACGGAATGAACTGTTCATTGATTCCCTTTGTGACTGTTTGGTTCAAGCCAGGGAATGAAATTGTCATTTTTTAAATTCCTGTATTATATGATAAACCTGTGAAATCATGAATTAATACTTGAAAACCTTGTTATGAAAAAGTTAAGCAAAAAAAAACTATAAAGACATTATAAAAAAAAAAACTATAAATAACATTTTTCATGCTCCATTGATTACAAATCCAAATTATCACCTCATGGTGAAAATAATACCAAAGTACTTGTTCATAGATAAAAGTTCATACCAAAAGTATTCTAATAATATTGACATTCAACCAAAGTCTTTGCCAATAATCCTTCCTAATACAAAACCATACATAAAACCATAACATAAAATTTATTTAGGCACTACCATCACCGCTTCCTCCAAGAAGACTCTTAACATAAGCACCTTTCAAAGCATCCGGACACTTTGAAAATATCATGAGCTTGTTAGGTTGTGCGGTTAGAATGTTAGCCACTTCAAAAACTTGGGTAGGAGTGACACCTTCAAGATTAAAAGAGAGTAGTTCCTCTAGCACTTGTTCACTCTTTTCAACTAATTTTTGCTCTCTTTCATCCGCACGTTGTTCACGATCATCAGTGCGTGCCATCACAGTAGCCATAGTGGAAAGATGAACATTCATGTCTTTCATAAATGCTTGTAAGCTAGCGAGCTCATTAGAACTTCCGGCACCACCACTTCCTCTCTTACTTTTTTTTGTAGTGTTTTCAGTCTTGATCTTTTTATAAGGAGGAGAGGTAACAGTTTGAGTGACATTACCACTACCTAGAACATCCTCATCATCACTTGAATCAAGTGTAACTTGTGGAGGGGCAACTTTTTCCAAGTTGTTGACTGCATCAGCAAAACCTTCAGCTGGTTTTCCAGTAGCATAGTCCTTGCCATAAATTTTCTCGAGTTCATGAAAGTGGGGGAAAGAAATTCCATACAAGTTTTTGCAATTAGGATGACTCTGGAAGACATAAAAATGCTCATCAACAACATCAAATACACAACATACAGTCATATCAAATGCAACAACCATATATTTCTAAATGTTGGTTCAATTTGACTAGGCATATTTTCCAATGAACAATTATAATCTCATAGCAATCAACCAATGTAATCAAAAATCCATGAATTTCAACAAACAAACAAAAAAAAAACAGATTACTCACTATAAAAGGACCTTAAAAGGGGGTGTACCTTGCAAAACTCGTCATAAACAGCCCGGTCCACATAAACCATTTATTTTTCATCATCCCAAACGAATCCACTTGTATTTAACATTTGAGAAATAGCCCTAAACTTGGCTCCAAGTGTCTTAATCCGAGAGTCAATGTGTGGTGTAGCCTTTAAACCACAACCAGGAAGAGCCTTACCTATGACCTCCTCCAAGCGAACCATATAGCCGCTTCGGAATCCATTTTCACACCTCCAGTGAGGATCTACAGCTAGCTCTGACAATGCTTCCACAAGGACTTCATCTTCTTGAGCGGTCCAAAATCGTTTGTTTCTCCCCCTTCCACCTCCACTTGCACTACTTTCTTCCATAATACTATAACATTTGAACCATATTAACATGACATATACATAAGAATATACATAAGAGGATTGCATATATATAAGAATAAAATTAACCAAAAAAATTGTTCAATTTAAGTAAAAAAGGAAATTAATATAAGTCCAATACAACATCCATGACTTAATGTAAACAGAAAAACGTACAAGATCGAAATTGAAAAAAGCATTCTAGTCTGAAGTTCAAATATAACAATAAAAAAGTTTGGTCATGTAAAAAATAAAATCACGAACTAAGTCTGCGGTTTCTAACCCTCCACTCATTAAACATATTTTGGGCCATTGTATTTCGAAAATTAGTCCATGGATCGGTTACAGCAATGGAAGTTATGTAATCCACATCATCTTCATCACTAGCATCACCATCATCATCATCACTATCACTTTCCTCATACAAGTCATCATCATCAAATTCAAAAAAAAAACAAAATTACTCTCTTACTAAGTTAATCTCAAATAAAGTCTACTATGTCAATCGTATTACCTTTAGGAACTTTCAACCCATTAGGCCTAGAAATAGCATCTCGAAGAATCCGACAATCATGTGCCGATCCCTCCCAACCGGGTAAGACATATGTAAATTCCATCTCAGGTGAGCATACTCCTAGAACATTCATAGCAATGGTGCCTTTTCTAGTGCGATATTTGGGTCGATCATCACAAGGAACATTAACTAGAATCATTGTACCATCAAGGGCACCTAAACAATTCTACAAAAAAAAACAATATTACTCTCATTTATGTATACTAGTCTCTCTCTTTATTTATCTCAAATTAAAGTGTTGGTTTTGTTAATTTACCTTGAAATATTTCCACCTTTCATCGTCACAATCCTCTCGTATTGGAGTTGGTTTCTTAAGAAGAACAACATGTAACTTTAAGATTGCTAACAAACAAGCATGAAATTGTCTACTAATAGTTTCACCACTTCTATGAAAGTGAGCACCCATCATTCTATTTTTCTTATGGTGAGTTAATGTGTATAAGAAACCCGCAACCATCTCTTCCAAACATGTGTTTTTAGTTTCATTTAATCCGCCAATATCTCTAACCATTTCTAAAAGTACACCAAATGTGAATCGATTTATACGAAGATAGTTCCTACACAAAGTGTCACTTTCTCTAATCATTCTATTCAAATTGTGCAATCTCATCTTTCTTCTAGTTTTTTTATCTAGCTTTAGAGAATGAGAATTGTATATAGTTTTTCTCATTGTGTACCATATCAAATGTAGCAACACAACACAATTAATCATAGTAATTATGAAACGAATAAAGTCCCAATTTCTCTTCCTTTTCAAAGAAGTACCAATTCGAGCCATTTTCTGTAGAAAAGAAAATCAACAACACTATATCATTGACAAGTTTCAACCTAAACCAATATATACATGTATATACATATGAAATCAATATTGTACAACACATACTACAATACATCTCAACAATTCAAGAAACACTGCCTTCTTTCATACTTCATACTTGTCTACTAAACAAAATATAAACTCAGGCAGTTTGGATAACAAGTAAGAGAAAGACATGGCAACACCTTTGTTTGGATAACAAGTAATTGGAAGGAAAGGGAGGGAAAAGCAAGAACTTGTTGCATTTACAGAATGAATACAATTATACAAGCCTTTTTCACAACACAACACTACCATTAATAGTCAAGTATTGAAAATTTACCTTGAAAAAATGAATGCCAAGCACAAGCATATCTTACTACAAACATAATAATGCCCATAAAAGTGAAACAAATAGACAATGTTACAAGCATAATTCAAACTCAGATATAGCTACTCAAAATAGAGATGACAAAATTAGCACAAACCTTTCTACATAAGCATCTTTCCAGAGGAAACCATAATTTTAAATTTGAAAGGGCACATTATCTCCAAAAAGTAAACATGATGGACCAACAGAGGAGGAAGAACCGGGCTTCACAGTCGTGGTTAAGAGTTTTCAACTATAGCTAGTTGGACACTATAATTTGAAGACCACACATCATATCACAGTACAGCAAACAGCATAAAAGCTACAGGGGAAAGGCTAAATGCTACATGATGCCTATAAAATTATCTATCTACTACCAAAAAATTGGATACGATCGTATGAAAATATTTGATTTAGTTAATAAAAATCAAAATTAAATTAATGATGTCACTAACATTGCTCTGGAGTCCAGAGTAAAATCATAAAAAACTCGTAAGTTGTAACACTTACAGAAATACTAGAATACTTCCCACTCAAATTTCCATAGGGAACCAATTTATTGATCCTACTTCGGCTACATGTTCTTCCCCATAATTGGTTAATATATAAGAGTGTATCATAATGTAATTGCAGACTAGAAATAAGATGCCAACATTATGCTTTCATTATTGAAAACGAAATTCTCCACCCATGACCCATTTTTAGCAAGTATCAGAAGTTGCTACAAGTAGCAGAACATAGACAAACAGTTCAAGTAAAATTATCTGAAGTAGATAACATCTCAACACAATTTTAGCAAAAGTATCAGAAGTTGTTTACAAGTAACAGAGCATAGATTAGGGTATTATAATGAAATTTAAAATCAATCTAAAGATCAAATCTACCTTGAACAAACACGAAAATAGCGAATTCTGAAGTTAGGGTTTACCTTGAACAAGCTGACGGTGGTCGCTGACGGTGGTGGTCGCTGACGGTGGTCGCTGACGGTAGTTGCTGACGGTGGTGGTCGCTGACGGTGGTCGCTGACGGTAGTCGCTGACGGTGGTGGTCGCTGACGGTGCTCGCCGGAATGCAAAAGTCAGGGGGGGTAGGGAATGAGATTAGAGGGATTTTAGGTAAAGTGAAAAATAAAAAAGGGTAAAGGGAATGATTGAAATGGAAAAACAAACGACAAGAAACGGAATCATTCCCATTCTGTTTCCTGAAACCCCCAAACCAAACGCCCCCTAATTTTTTCTCCTTTTCCTCTCCAATTACACTTTCTCTCTCCTATGTTCTTCCCCCTCCTTCCTCCCCACACCACCACCAAAATCACCCCACTTACCCGCCACCTGAATAAACCTCATTTATCCTAGGCACTCATGCACCTAGCCTCTAACGCCCTCTCTAACCCGATATCACTCATAGAAGCCCAAATTCATGCGGTGGCCCACCATCGTCGGTGGTTGTGCGGTGCCAAGTAGCCACTACAACCTTTGATTTTCCCTCCCTTTTCACTTTCCCCCTCCTTTTTCACTTAAAGTTCACAATTCAATCTTTGTAATTTGTGGTGAAATCATCAATTATTTTGGGGGAGATTTAATGAGTGCAATTAGTATTATAATTTAGGTCCGTTTTTTTTTTTTTGTATGTGCTTGTTCTATTGGGCTTCAATGGAGGAAGGAGGTGAAGAGGTGGGTGGGGTTTCGGGTGGATGGGAGTGAATAATCTGATCGAAGTTTTCATGGAAGTGGATTTATTGGGTGGGATGGTGTTGGTGAGGGTGGCAATGAGTTGGTGGTGGCGGTGAGGCGGTGTTGGTGAGGTGGCAGTGAGCTGATAAGGTGGTGGTGGCGATGAAGTGGTTGTGGTGAGGGAAAAGGGGAAAAATTAAAGGTTGGTGGATTTATGAGATCACTCGACCCACACATTTAAAGTCAACGCCTGAAAATTGGGTCAATGCCCTGAAACAAGTCTAAACTGTGATCTTGCAAAAGTAATTTGATTTAAGCTAAGGTGTATTCTTGCTTAAAAAAAAAAATAATTATTATAAGGTGGTTTTTCACCACAAACAAACAAATAAACAAAAAAAAATAAAAAAAAAATAAGAAGGTGGTTTCTGATAAATTTTCTTATATTAATGTCTATGTTTTACTTGCATAGTTTTGTAGGAAACTAGCTTAGGCCTAATCGCCAGCTAAACATGATTAATCTTTGTTTGTTTCCGTTTTACTGAAAAAACATATAAATGCATTATGTTATCTTAGTCGGTTGATTCACAATCATGAGATTAAACACAATATACCCAACCCAGCCTAAACCTCAATAAGAGATCTATGCAATACTTGAGCAATTCAAATTGAGAGTTCAATTCGAGGTGTAGGACTTGATGATATGGTATGCTGTCTTAACCTTAAAGAAACTTCGTCATCACTTGAAGCCTACACTAGTTTGGTGTAGCAAAATTCGCTAATAATGCAGTGGCTTTCATTCCACAACACAACGATGTCCTTATGATGATCGAAATCTACAATTAAGTATAATTGAGAAGATGAGAGTTCAAACCACAAAACCAAGCCAATATTTCCAATAAACTTTATATTACATATTACGCACTACAATATTTACTTGGAAAACGAAAAATCAAGTATATTTGGGGTGTACTTTGAGAAGAATACCAATCAAGTTGAAATTTGAGTAAATGGGATCATAAAAAAAGTTATACTGCCTCCGTTACTTTTTAGTTGCAACAAAGATATTATTTGTGAGATATAAAATATTCCTTTGTTGCAACTAAAAAGTAACCGAGGTAGTAGTTTTTTTAGTACTAACATTCATTAGTTTAAGGTAAACAAGTTATACAGACCATAGTTCGAAAAATTAAGAAGTACCATCTTCATAAAAACGGGCAGATTGAAATAAAAGTGATTCTAAGCAGTTCAAACAGGGTCAGCGGGTGATGTAGAGTTAAATTTGGGAACCAATTTGACGATCCTTGCCCTCAAAATGGGTCGTCGATTGATAAACTTGACTACGAAGAGAATGGCATGTCCGAGGAGCATCAACACCACGACGCCTAGCCAAAATAAAGTAGTATTAGCTGTTGGAGCTGCACTATAAATGGTTAAAAACAACGATTTTCCATAAGTCGCGGTTGTTGCTGTAACTGCAATCCACATGGTTATCCTCAAAATTGCCACAAATACTCTTCCATAGGGAAGACCACTAATAAGGAGAAGTATTACACTTAACGACGAAACCAATGCTATTGTGTTCCAAATCACTAAGTGATTAAACCAAAATAACTGATAATCATCTTCTATAGAGTGACCTGCTTCATGATCCGTCTTTGGGTCTGGTGGTGATCCTGGTGGAGCATCTTGAGTATCTTGCCAAAACCCTCCGGGGGGATTGGTTGCGACCGAGAACGCCATGGTTGCTATTAGAGATGCCACCACCATTAGCGCGTTGCTTTGATTTTCTACCCAATAATGTCTGTTCTTTATCTTTAGTACATGTCTTGCCTGTAACGCTTTGCCTTGTTCTAGGTACGGTCCAATATGCTCATCATTAGGCCATTCAACTAGAAAATTACTCACATCTTTTGTACTGCTTTTTGTTTTTAGGAGTATGCGTATATCCAAAGCTGTCATCTCATTTTTGTTCATTGCGTTTACTTCAATCTTTGGGCGTTTTAACAACATATTTACCATCTGCAACCATGCCAAGTATTTATTAAGTATACATAAATGGGTAAGTTTGTGTGATAATCCCCGAAATTTGTTCCCAAAAAAAACGGTTTCATCGTACCTTTCTTTGATTGCCAATCACTGCAAGATGCAAGGCAGTATTCCCATCACTATCCTTAGAGTTGAGTAGTTCGTCATCAATTAAACTCAACAAAGCCTCCAAAGCATCCTCCTTATTTTGCTTGATGCACAAATGTAACACAAATTCACCTCCATTGGTCCGTTCACGAACTACGTGAGGATTCGCATTATAAAGTATTTCAAGCACATCGATGTTATTATTTACCACAGCAACATGAACCGGGGTCATCCCATCTTGATCGCGCACAAAACACATGTTAGGCCTTGCAGCGAGCAATGTTTTGATAATCTCTAAATGCCCCATTTCAGCTGCTACATGTAACGGCGACTGCATCAATTGTCTCGATCTTTGATTGATGCATCGATTCAGGATAAGTCGATCTTCATCGAGCAACTTTATCAAGGATTGCAAGTCTCCCTCAAAAGTTGCATGATATAGCTTTGTTACAGCAAACGATTGGCTTCTTTCTATTTGTACTTCCATATATCTGTAGATTAAAATAAAAAACCATTAATTATTAATTTGTAACATTAATATATTTGCATGGTGGGTCTTGCATGGTATCTTAAAAGGTGTACATAGTACATCATTATTTTTAAAATTATGTTTATTAATTGAGTATTTTACTACTCCACTATCTTATCGACATTAAGTTACTTTCTCTGTTCCATAATTCGATTTACTCAAAAATATATATGTATACAAAATTAATTAAAGACTTAATAAGGTAAGTGGTTTGATAGTTTTTTTTTTTTTTTTTTGTGTGTGTTATGAGAGCCACAAGGCGAATGATGAGCATCGATCCTAGGATCACCTGAAACTGAAAGGGGAACTCTAACCACTTGAGCTATCCCTCGCTCTCGCTTGATAGTTGTACGTAGCCATGTCCACTTTAATTTGACTAACATTATATTTATGTAACGTACTACATGTAGAAGAAAGAACATAACTAAATGTGATTTGTAAAATTAATTACTTCATATTAAAATATTAAAATGGCTAGGATGTGTAAACTTAAATATGGAACAAATAATATCGTGCAATTGCTTCAAATTCGATAATGTTTTTTTTTTTAAATCTTAGGAGATATAAATATATGATTGTCATAGAACAAAATAAGTATCAAGAAAACTTACAAATTATGAGCAAAAAATGACCGAATTACAATCAACCCTGAAATTATTTTTGGGAAAAATTGACTCTCTCAAAATTTGGATCGTCTAAGGCTCTTAAAGGTGTGTATGTTTTTGTTGAGCGAGTAAAACTCCCTTAAATGATCATCTAATATGATATCGATCGAATATAAATATGGGCTGTCAACTTATCAACATTACTTTTACAAGACTTAAAATTCGCATAAATGGAGCAAATTAACGTTGCATATATTGATTGATATATCTCCAAAAAAAAATCAACAAGTATATATGCCGTGAGATTGATTTGCTACAAGATAAAGAATATATATCACTATCCTTTAGCAATTTCTGGTGAAAACAATTTCTAAATATATACCATCAAACATATATTTTTATCACGTGATGATGATATGTATATATATCAACAAAATTATTTATGACAATTTTATAATTATATTAAACAATTGTGAGGAGCCATATTTGATGATAATTTATTACACTTTGAACTTGTTTTCTCGATATATTTTTAAAAAATACTCCATATAAAAAGTGTGTCCAAAATACTCGTGTGTGTGCTAGGGTTCCAAAACTCTACTTTTCTATACACACTTGTCCTCCTCGTCTTTTTGAAGCGGCCCAAATTTCTTCTGATGTGGCCGTTCGAGCTTCTTTGAGCGCATTGTAACTGTTTCAGGGCCAGGTTTTGGTGGTTGGTAAAGGCAACTTGCCACCTTACCTTTTTCTTATATATGGTGGATTGGGTATCTATTCAGTGGGTGATGTTCGGCACTATGCTTTCCTTGCGTCGCGTTTGCATTTTTCTGGTCTACAGGCTACGCTTCTTCGCAATTCTAGTATTGTTGGTCCAGGACCGGCCTTTAATGGTGCTCTTAGTCTTTTAATAGGACTGTGGAGACTGACCTTATGCGTAACCCTAGTGGGATCGCTGCCCCCAAACTCATGAAGAAATTGGCAGATATATATTTCACGAAAGTCACTGCTTCTGCAACATCCACTTCTCCTTATCTCCGCGTCAGGTTGCTTTATGGAAGTCCTAGCATAGGGATCACACTTAGGCCTGGTTGCGTGTCGTCCAATATCGGGGTTGGGTCAGACTATGAATAGTAAGACTTATCGTTGTGTTCTTTGCTACCAGTTAGGTGTTCCCTTGTTAACCGTTTCGACACCGTGTTCTGCTTGCTCAAGGGTTTTTGATGGGGATATTTTTGGAGATCATGCAGTGTCTTGTGCTGGGATGGTGGGAATAATAATAATAATAATAATAATAATAATAATAATAATAATAATAATAATAATAATAATAATAATAATAATAATAATAATAATAATAATAATAATAATAAATAAATAAATAGATAATAGTAGGCATGTGTTTTCCCAAAAGGTGCATACATTTTCACATTTTCCCTTACATGACACAATTTACAACTCGAATAAAGTCATTAAAGGTCCGAAACTATAGCCTAGCTTTTAAAATATCAACTTTTAATCATATAGTACTTTTTTTTTAATGAAAAGATAATTAAAACTAGCTACACCATGTCCATTAAGAAGTATTCAGTTGCCAACTACAGATTCTATTCACTATGATGATACACCATTTCCAGCCTATAAAACATGAGAGGGAAGCTAAACTCCAAGATCTTCTATATAGCGATTAATTACTCTATGGTTGTCTATTTTGTAGAGGATTCTTCCCAATTCCTCTGCTTCGTACTCCGTATGATTTTGTAATTAGAGCTTTTTAATTAGTTGAAAACACTCAATTTCCCAATTACACTATTACCTATGTCATCCGCTCTTTTAATATTGTATCTATGTTTTACATTATTCACAAATGCTTTCCTTCACTTATTTTCATTTGCTTATCTATTGTGACTTATATGTAATTAATAATATAGTTTGGTTTAAAATCGTCTTGATTTATACTTTTAATATATAAATTTATAATATATATATATAAAAGGAAATATGAATGATGATCAAATATGGAACAGATCTAAACAAAAAAAAAAGAAAAATTAATTAGCCCTTTGATATGTACTTCTTCATTTCATGATAGATTATCTATGTGTTCAACATGGCGCAATACACCCAACCTTTCTTATCTAATTTTAAATTAGAAATAAATGGGCTGTTATATCAAGTCAATTTTTGCCAACTTTAGCATTAATTAATTATTCCTCTTAATTTCCTCAAAAAAATAAAATATTCCTCTTATTCAAACATAAAAACTCTAACATAATTTTTTATTTCTCTTTTTAAAGTTCCAAATTCTCACTTATTTTTGTTAAAATATTCCTTTTTTTTTTTTTTTTGTGGTGATAAACCAAACTAAATTGACCAAATTTATCTATGTTCAATGATTATCATTCATGATTCACCACATTATTTAGCATCTAGCTTATTCGCATATAATGTCCACTTCTTAAATTCTATCACCACTGCCACATTACCGCAACCATCTCTATCATGAGTTTGATCATGACCCACATTTCACCCATTTTACTTTTAGTATTAGAACAACAATTTATAATGCTACTTTATAATGTTTTTATTACTTTATTAAAGTAAAGTTACTTTTTTGTCTTTGGAAATAAAGTCTTTAATTTATAGTTCAAATCATCTTCAAATATAATCTTAATATTTCATATTCTTCGATCACAAATTGTCGTTGTAATGTTGGAATATTTGCTTCAAATTGTTAATGGTTAGTTAACTCTTAATATATAGGAATATGCTCTACTAAGTATTAGTTTGTGTTAGTGGAGTCAAAATAATAGTGGGTTAGTTTAGTGGGTTAATGTTAGCATGATCAATGATCACGGGATCATGTTTCTTAATTATAACTTAGTTATTTTGCACTATATATATGTTGCTATGTAGTATGTTTTTCAATGGATTGAATATAACTTTTATTATTCTCTCCCTTCTCTCATCTCTATTTATTATTTCAACATGGTATCAGAGCTTCAGGATAGATCTTGGGAAAAGGCGAAAGGAGAAGGGAAAAAGATGTTTCCAAAAAAAAAAAAGGAGGGCAAAAACTTTTTGTGAGTGTTTTTTGTGCTTGGTCATGGAAGTAATGGTTGGTTTAATGTGTTCATGGGTTCTCTTTTAGCCCATGAAAATGGGTTTAATAATCATGTGAAAAAAGGGCAAAAAATTGTTTAATGTAAAGATCGCATAATCTTTAATTTACGAGTGTGAAAGTCGTAATCAACATAGACGGTTTCTAAGATAATACCAAAGATTTTTAGTATGATGCAAGGTGACATGGTCAATTGGAGGACAATGCCAATGAGAGTTAATGGAGAGATGTGCTCCATTGAATGTAAGTTGGTGAAATTATTCATCAACAAGATCGAGTAATTGATGAGAAGTGCATCAATAAAAAAATGTCAAGTTTTGGTTGTGCGGAGATAAGTGCTCCGAGAATATCATGTTGGTGATAATGTGTACCAGCAAAATTGTGTGGGTGATGAGATGTGCATCACAAAATGCTGTAAAAGCAAAAGTAAATTTCGTCGTGGTCAAACGTGAAGATTAAATACATTGTAATCTAATTTGAAGCAAAAGGGTGTGTTTGAATATTTGCTTCAAATTATTAATGGTTAGTTAACTCCTAATATATAGGAATATGGTCTACTAAGTATTAGTTTGTGTTAGTGGAGTCATAATAGTAGTGGGTTAATTTAGTGCGTTAATGTTAGTATGATCAATGATCGTGGGATCATATTCTTAATTATAGCTTAGTTATTTTGCACTATATATATGTTGATATGTACTATGTTTTTCAATGGATTGAATACTACTTTTATTATTCTTTCCCTTCTCTCATCTCTATTTATTATTTCAACATGTAATGGATCTCATCCTATATATTCTCTATAGAGTAGTAATGTTTAAGTTTATATCTATATATGGACCAAAAATGTAATGGTTCTCATCCTATATTCTATATATAGTACTCAGAGTCTCAGAGTAGTAATGTTTAAGGTTGTGTCAATGTATAAAACAACGCATCGAATAAGGATATTTTATATTGGAGTATAATAATATAATAGTTAATAAATGGTACCCAATACAACAAAACTCAAATTGGGACACAAATTTTGGGCTCGTAGTGTGGTACTGGTCGGGCTATATATCTTATTGGATTATAGTCTGACCCAGTGACCCATGTAAAAACATTTTTATAATCAAAGTCTTTAATATACCCTTTACTAAATATTTTACTTGAAAGAAGGGGTGGATGAGATTTGAATCTATGACCTTTATATCACGTTGGCTCTTGATATTATGTTAAAAAAAAAACATACATCTTAGCCAAAAACCTAAGGACTTTTTGTGAGAAACTACCTAATAAAACCTAAATTTTGTGAGAAACTACCTAATAAATAAATGTTGTAAGAAACTACCTAATAAAAGGTAAAATGTTGTAAGATAATACCTTTGACCGCATTTCCACCGTTAACTTAATTTACCGACGTTGATTCACCTTAAAACACCCCAGAAACCACCGTGAGGGTTGGTTTTCAAGGTGATAAGGTTATTTTCAGCGTGGTTGGAGGATATTCCGAGTTGGCGAGGGTAAATTAGTCCACCAAAACATCTTATCTCCCTGCCAAACACCTCCGGGAGGATTAATCCCGAGTTGGAAAGCCATTGTTGATATCAAGGATGCCACCACCATTAACGAGGCTCGTTGCTCCTCCAACCAAGTGCCATCCGCTTGATGCTTCAGTACCGTCTTTGCAATATAGATTATAATATACCTAGTTTTGTTGATCAATTTACAATATAGATTATACAATATGAAGAAGAAAAAAAAATCACCCTGCAATCTCTACCTATAAATAATCAAATAATAAATACTACGGAGTACTCTTTTTTTCCCTTTTTACTACTCCCTCCGTCCCCGAAACTTCGACCCTTATGGCCTAATTTTAGTCCCAAAATGTTCATCCCATTTGCATTTTAATACCCTTTAATTTCCAATAATATTTGTGCAAAATTAGCTTCCCCATGCAAATTTTGCTTTTTCTATATACTTTTATTACTTTCTCTCTCTACTTTTTTGCAATTCCAATGTAA